TCTTGCGACTAATGTAAAACGGGCTTTAAACGAAACACACCTGAGACGCTACGAATTTCACCCCCTTCCCTCTCGCTTCTCTCGCCCTCGCCTTGACTCTTCCTCTTTAATTTCAGAGCTTCCTCTACATTACATCGTGTACGTTTCGGGGCGAAGCGCGAGCGAGAGCGGACCCCCGCTTCCAAGTGACCAGCGTGGCTCGTGGCTCGTGGCGCACAAACGTAAGCACAAACCCCGGCGAGGTGAGGAGTCGGACGTGAGTCTACGTGAGCGCGATGGATCGCAGCTGTCGGCGAGCGCGGGGTGACGCCGAAAGTCGGCAGCTAGCCGAATCTATGCGCGAGAGGCCTGTTATTACTTTTTACGGCAGCGGGGGACCGGCGGAGAGAGACGGAGAAAGACCGAAGAAATGAGCGGCGGCGCAAGGTGGTGGCGAAGGAGGAACGCTGAGCGAAACGAGCGGGGGGGGGGGACGCGAGAGCGCGCCGCGTATAATTCGACGCTTAGCGACTTAAGCGTTTTGTCTGTGATCACTGCGACGCATCTATAATCTTACACGTGGTCGACCGCTGTCGACCACTCTCTTCTTCCCTCTCTCCACCCTCGTTCTCTTTCTTTCCTAGCTGCGTTGCACGCAGCTGCCTCGATTGGAGGTGAATCCCTGCGCGACGTGGCGGACGGATTCCCTCCTTTCCTCCCGACCTTCGTTCATATCCTTTTTCACCGCCGGCGCTCTCTACGCCTGGTGTGTGCCGGCGCTATCGCCGGTGCAAATCAGGACCCGGGTCTATTCGTAATGGGAGTAGCGTTTTGGTCGTGTTCGAGTGGTCCGCCAGCCTCCCTCGGATGGAAATGGAAATCAAATTACCGGGCTAGGTGCACCAGTGAACGACCAGTCTCGAGCCGAGTGAATGACCACACTGGATCTACGCTTATATCTCCCTCCTTCGCGCTCGGGCACCGACGCGACGAGGGAGAAACGAGTCGATATTCTGGCTGACCGAGGTCGAGATCAGAAATTGGGATTTTTCTTCCGTCGTACCGTGTCGTATCGTCGCTCTTCTGCTGGCTGGCTGATGTCTCACGAGCGATACGTCTGATCGCGGTAGCAAAGAGACTCGTTACCCGGGAAAGTAAGAACTGAGAGGGCAAAGGGTGCGCCTTTGCTGCCTCGATGTTCATCCGCGACACCATCTCCACAGATCAGTCAGTATTTTTCTATGTAATGGTGTAAAAGGCAGACTTAATGCGCGTTTATGCGATGCACATTTCAAGGCGCCGGGGAACCTGTCTCGGGTGTTCTCGCACAGGTGAATATAAATCCCCGTTCCGAGTCGGTGGGGTCCCCGCCCGCCGGTCGAAAACAAATGCGGCGCCTACAAATTTACCTCGAACGTCCGTCCGCTTTCCGGAAAGTCCACGGCACCGTGTCTTCGGGGCACCAGCGACAAAAACATTCGGGCCCCGTGAGAGACCTCGAGCGCCGCTGGTCCCGTCAGCGTCGTTCCGTGCGCTATGGATACGCCAGGGACTGTGCGTTCTCGCGAACGTTGGCGTGATACCCTTTTTCGACAACGACCATCCTCGAACTCGGCCTCGGCTCGGTATCACACGCTTCCCCCTTACCTCTACTTCTCGCCTACCTCTCTACCTACCTACCTACCCCCCCAATCGCTACGCAGACCCGAGTTCGGCGTAAGTGCGAATTCCTCCTTTTTCTCTCGTTTCCTTTCGTTGGGCGGACGTGATTACTGGGAGGCCGAGGAGTTCTAAGCTGCTGCCCGTTCCTCCGGAGCACGGACATCTTTGTGGAGGAGGAGGAGGAGACGAAGAAGAAGAAGAAGAAGAAGAAGAAGAAGAAGAAGAACTAGAAGAAGAAGAAGAAGAGGAGGAGGAGGAGGAGGAAGAGGTGGTTGTTGTGATGCTGCGAAGAGGAAGAGCGAGAAGGATGCGGCCATCAGGGTAGCGGCGGAGGGGCAAGGGCGGCAAGGCAGCAGCGATCAGCGGAGGGACGGGGGTGTACAAGAGCAGAGGTTACTTTTAATGTCTCGCGTCACGCAGCCCAAGGCACCGTGAGCCTCGCCTCGTCCTCCTTACTAATTTGGCGCCAATTTCCAGGCAACCTCCCGAGCAAAAACTAACCGAACCATATACCGCTCCCCCCTCCCACCCTGCAGTATATACGTACACGTGTACCGTGCACTTCGACGCGGGGCTCTGATTAAATGCTACTCCGCCGAGTCGTTCCCTCTTCCTTTTCCTTCTTCTCGCGATGCCCTCCTCCTGCTCCTTCTCTTCGTTCTCTCGGTCTGCCGCGAGTCTCTCACCCTACCTCCCCCCCCCCTCTCTCTCTCTCTCTCTCTCTCTCTCTCTCTCTCTCTCTCTCTCTGTCTCGAAGCGACGCGGTTTCCCACACTGCACGGACGCGTACACGATGTGATACGAGACGGCGGTTGCTGCGGCGCGTTCGTCCACGCCGCGCCATGCCGCGCCGTGCCACACCGCGCCGTGCCGCGCCGCGCCGCGTCGCGCAGCACGTGTGCGTGTGGCGGGTATGTACCCGCGGATGAGGTGCTCCTTTGGTCGCGCCGCGCCGCTTTCCATCACGCTCTCCCGCGTTGGATCAGCATTTTTCTCGGCCGTCTTCATCGGCAGCGTGCGATGCACCCACGGGGTTGTCTTTGAGAATCCAGACTGACAGACGGAAAGATTGTCGCCGCGGTAATCCGACATATCGATGTCACATCGAGCCGAACGATTCTTTTGCTCCGACACGTCTCTCTCTCTCTCTCCCTCTCTCCCTCTCTCTCTCTCTCTCTCTCTCTCTGTTTCCCTTTCATTATCGTTATTGTTTGTTTCTTTTCGTTTCGTAACGCGTCCATGTAAGGAAGGAAGTCACGAGCGGCTGAGGAGCACCGCGCGCTCGCGCATTCCTGCGGGCACATAGTTGCGTTAACAAGTACCGAGCCGGCCGATCGCGGAGTCACCCGCTGCACGATATTGCAGCGCGTCCCGTCGTCCGCTCTCCCGGGTTCCCACGCGAGCTGGTCTAAGCGCCGGAAGGGCGAGTACTCGTCGATAACGTCGATCGTACGCGGGTTCTCGGCTGGCTTATGCAAATACAAATCTCAGCGGGCGTCACTTTAATGGCGAGGCGACCGGCCAGCGCGAATAACGCCGAGAACGAAGTGAGGCGTCTCCGCGCAGCACGTTCGGCCGTGGAGACGCCAGGCTACGAAGTCAGGCAGAGTCTCAAAGTAGGTAGGCAGTCAGTCAGTCAGTCAGTCAGTCAGACCGGCGGTCAGGGAGAGCAGTCGGGACCAGGTCGAAGGTGCGAGAAAGGGAGAGAGAGAGAGAGAGCGAGAGAGAGAGAGAGAGAGCGAGAGAGCGAGAGAGAGAGAGCGAGAGAGAGAGAGAGAGAAAGGAGAGGACGAATTAAGGGGCGGAGGTGAGTGCGAGCGAGAGCAGGGAGAGCGCTTGGCTTGGCAGGCATCTACGGGCAGTATATCACGTGGGCAAGGATAAGTTTTTGATCGGGCTTCGCTATACGGATGACTCCCTGCTGCTTGACCTCATCACGCCACGCTATGGGGGTCTTTATAAACTACCATCGACTGCGCGTATCCTAATCACCTTTTGTCTTAAGCCTGCCAAACTCTTTCTCTGAGGAAGATCGGCGCGCAGATTTAACTGCCGGGGACACCCAATATTCGTCACCACTACCGGACGACGTGTATTCGAGCGAGCAGACTGGTCTTCCGGTGTATGCGCGGGAATATCAACAGTTTAACAGCAGTATTCGTCGGGTCTCTTATATTTCAGATCTTGAGGAATTTATTTTTCAGATGCTTTGTAGCTAGTAATAATAATAATAATAATTAAATTGTCGTTTTATGTATGTATACGATAGAAACTGCAAATTCTCATTATGTACGGGAGAAAAATGCAACTTTCACATTTACGTGTTCGTAAATGAAAAAATTCCGAATTTTATTATGCACGTAATAAGAATTCAACTTTCATGACCACTCCACATTGGCAATACCGTATTTTCGTTATGTTCGTAATAAAAATTCAATTTCTACGAAAACGATTAAGCAGACGCTGAGATGCGCGGAGTTATCCTTTCTCCAACGAGTTCTCTTTGAAATATCTACGATCGGTATAAGCGTAGATATCGACAATGGTGTCAAACTGCTCCGAGCGGAACATGCCGTTGTTTAGGCAAGGTCGGAGTCGCAAGGCCAGAGTCTGCTCGCTAGACTGAAGCGAGAGCGAGGAAGCGCAAGAACACCGTCACCTCGGACCACGCGGTCGGGCTTCTCTCTCGCTTAACGTGTGGACGAGAAGAAAGATGCGATTACAAGCATGTCATCAACCATTCGATCGTTGGCACTTGTTTTATGAAATTCCGCAATTCATACGCTCGGCAGCGCGTCGTAAAGCCACGACGATACCGTTTTCCCCAAAATTGGTTATTTTGCATTTAGGTTAAACCCTCCTCACTGCTATTTTCATATCGTATATATTTGCAGACACGTTCTCATCGGTATATTATAAATTTATCAATCAATATCTCGAGCAGCAAAATTTCTAATTTAAGTGTTTTTCCACTTTTCTCTGTCGCTTCCTTGTCTTTATATTTCAGTGAGCTACAATTTTCTATTTTTATTCAAGATTTGATTACTGCATATAAGTCTCGAATTCAGACAGTTTGGTCGCCAATCGATGCATCATCGATTTGGTTCCTCCTGGCGCAGTACAATCCAAGTTGCTCCTGACAATTTGCCATGTTGCGCGAATTCGCCCGAAATTTTATTTACTTTACATTTTCTCCGTACTCGATGAAATATATCTTTATCAGTAACTCTCTGCATTCGCGCAGTGGCCGATGGCCACTGTTCCGATCCGCTTTTGATTTGTTTCGCTTGCCACGATTGTCGTCAATATCTCACTCGTCTTCCTAGGTTACGTTTCGCAATAGTAATAATATCGCGCAAATGGATCGAATTACTAAGACACCATGCTGGGTACGCGGCAGCAAGATCGAAGAGATAGTCTGTATCGGCAAGGACGTGCTCGCTTGGTGCACCGGCTTGTACATCGTATTCTTTCACGTGCTGAAGAGACAGCAGACCTTGCGTTGGTGCTGGAACCAGGTTACCGGCGACGGCGCTCACCGCATATCCAGTCACGTGTCCTCGTCGATTTTCGCCTTCTCCGAGAGATCGATGAACCCGCGAATTTTCGTCCTCGCATACCCCGCGATGACGAAGATCTGCGAGTGCGTACAAGGTTGCGTCAGCGGTTACCTGGCGATCGCGTTCACGGCGCACGACTATCTCGTGTCGTTGGGCTCTTACCCGGACTTCCCGTTGATCGTGTGGTGCTGGCGAACCGGTGAGAAAATCATTGTCGTGGACACGTCTATACGCGACGAGGTCGGTCAGACGATCAAGGTGACTCCGACTAGTCGCACCGTGATTGCTCAGGTAGCCAAGACCTGCGGCAAACTGTTCACCTGGGAGCTCGACATCGTCGGCAAGCTCGTCGTCTTGAAAGGTACGTACGTTGCCAAAGCTTTTATGTCCAGCTAGATAACTTGCCTGTATGTTCCGTTTGTGTAATTATTATTGAAGAAACGACACAAAAATGTCTCAATACTATTTCCTTCGGGAATGTTCCTTTTATCATACAAATATCTGACGGAAACGAATGTCTTTTTCTAGAATAGATAGCTACTTTTCCTATGTTCTGAAAAATATTCCTCATGGTCCAAGTGACTTTTGGGCCAGTTGACCCGACGTCCAACTGAAGCTTCTCGAAAGTAGTACGCTGCTTCTGCAAGTATACTCGTGTTTGTTGTCGCGAAGATCACGAGGTGAAACTGCCGGACGACGCTACGATTCACGGGGTCGACTGGTGTCCGGTGCAGGGCGAGCCGTTGTTGGCCATTGTCGATATAGACGGTCACATATACCTCAGCAGCTACGACGGCATCGGCATCCGGCGGATCGTCACCTCGCAACGCTGCGGGATTTGCCTGAATATTGAGCTACCGGCGATCTGCTGGTTCCACGGTGGGATCATCCTCCGAACGACCTTCTGCCAGATCCGTTACTTTCAGAGGGACCCGCAGACCGACTTCTGGCGCAAGCAATGGTACATCAAGTCAATTACCAAGCCGTACCTCTTGGTCGTGCATCCCTTCAAGGACGATTGGCTCTTCTACTATACGCTCGAAGGCTACCTCATGCAAATCATCTTCCCCGAGGTCAAGGGTGCCGCGCCGAACATCCAGAGACATCTGTACAACGGCGGTAGGTATCGTTTCGTCGACTTTGTGCGACCTTGGTGCCATCACCTCGTGGTGACGGACGATCTCAAGGAACTGTCCATCCTCGAGAGCTACAACGGCAGCGAGCTCAGCAAAGTGGACCTCGACATGGAAGGCGTTATATCCGACCAAGCCGCGCATCCGGACGACCCGTTGATCGTCGTCATCAGCGATCAAGGTGAGATGGTGATTTTGGGTGTCACCGATCCGGAGCAGCCGACGATACTCGCGCGTTTCCGTCTCCAAAAGAAGCCCCTGGACTTTGTCAGATTTTCGCAGTCCGGCGAGTAAGTTTCGAGTGTTCTCGCCTTCTGGGACTTGGAAAAAGTCCCAACTACGTTAAACACTGCAGTGTTAGTAGCAATTGGGAACAAACGAGAGAGCGATAATCGTTCCTCGCAGCTCGTGAGAATTCTCAACCCGTTGATTTTTATCTATCCGTTCATTTTTAAACGAGTAACTTTCTCGACGATGCAAAAAAGATCTCAATACAACAGCAGAGACCCTGTGATCTTTTCCTCACTCTCTTTCACCCACTCGCATGAAATCTAGGCTGCACCTCCGCGACGCGCGCTCTCGCGAGCGAGCGAGAGAAACGCGCGGCCTTTTACGCGCGGATTACACGCCTCCCGGCCACACTCGATTTATCTCCCTCGGCAGATTCCTCATCGCCGCGCAGAAGGAGAGGGGTAATTGCTATTGCGTAAACCTGCGGCGCGACAAGCCGTGGAGTGTGACGGGCCAGCTCCGCTTGAACAGGCGTATCACCGACGTGGCGTTGTACGACGATGCCGACGACGGCAACCTGAAGCTGCTCGCCCTCTGCGTCACGTACCTGCAGTCCTCGGCGGGTCACCAGCTCCGCGTGTACGACGTGCCGCGGCGCGACACGTGTCGCTTGATCGACACCTTCGCCTACACGATCGTCACGCTGCCCAGGTTGTTTCGCGAGCTGCGCTACGCGCCCGGCAGCCAGCAGCCCCGGCTGTTGATCGGCTCGCCTTACCTCAGCCGCCGGCTGCAGGCGGTGAGGCTGCGCGAGCTGAAGAGCGCGACCTTGACGGACACGGCGCTCACGGGCCATCACGTGCGGTTCGCGCGCGTCTTCAGCGACCGCCACTGGCTCGCCACGTGCGCGTACGACGGATTGGCGGTCATTCGCGGCAAGGTACGCGAGATCGTCGCCGTGGTGCCAGCACATCACAGACTCGACTCGGGCAGTGTCAAGGTTATCGTCACCCCCGCGGCAGATAAGGTGGTCGTTCTCGGCCACGACGGCTCTCTGGTTGCGACGTGCGTCCATCGCGCGGACAAGGTGTGCGATGACTTCGGTGAATTTTCGACATGATGCTCTCGGTATTTCTCAATGTTCTCGCTGTAATGTTTCTCGTTCTCGGGAACGTCGCCGTGGACATTCCCATTCGCAGCGACGACGAGAACATTACCACCCGTGGTAGAATCGCTCGGATGAATTGCTCGACTCTCTTAGATTTTTATCTATAATTGAAGTCAAACTCGAGTAGCGGCTTGCGGGATTCACTGGCGGAAAATGCGCTCCATGCGAGCGTGGAAGGTCACTCGAATTTATATAATTCGGCATTTTGTCACTCCGCTTCTCAGACGGAACTTTACTTAAAGAAATCGCGAGATCATATGCGAGATAATAGGGAAAGATAGGCAGTTTTCCACGTGCGTCTTTTAGTACAGCACAAGGAGGTCTCGTCGACCGCAGTCGGCAGCGAGGACTCCGCGTATCCTGTGGATCACGGATGGCGCGACAAGTGGATGCGGAAGATACTGGACGACTACGGCGGCCTGGAGCCAGCGATTCGCACGTCCTTGACTCGAGCTCGACAAGACTTCCCGCCGAAGAACGGTGACGGTGAAGACGCTGAGACGTGGGAAGAATGGCGGCAAGGCGCGCAGGTGCGCGAAGAGGCGTCGCTGTACGCGGCGGAGAAGGCCGCGATCGTGAAGGACCTGATGGCGCTCAAGGACACCGTACGGCGGCTCCTCGACGAGAACGAGACGCGTCCGGAGATAGAGAGGCTGCCGGTGTCCGCGTTCGACGTGGACCGGGTGGGTCGCGATCAGAAGTCCAAGGCGGCCAAGGACGAGCGCGAAGACGTCCGCATGGAGCTCGAGCACGTGCAGACCTCGGCCGATCGGGTGGCCCTTTGGATCAAGAAGACTTTCTGGGAGCCGCAGGTCGTGCAAGGTCGCTCGATATTTTCCTTCCGCGGCAACGTGGAGCTGACGAATTACCCGCTGCTCGCGGAGCAGCCGTACTTGAAGGAACACCTGCGGTGGGCGCAGTTCTCCAGGGAGTCGATGCGCAACATCGTCGACGGCGACACCTTCCAGCCGTGGCGCGTGTACACGGACGAGCAGCTCCAGGCGGAGCTGAGGAAGCCCGTGAGAGTGCAAAGAGAACACGACAAGTATAAAGTGGACGTGCTCTTCGAGGAGGAGGAGGGGGAGGAGGAGGAGGAGGAAGGAGACAAGATTGTTCACGAGGAGCTGACGGAACAGCCAGCTTTCGATGGTGCGCGGCGCGATGATTCCCGGTTCCTTTGAGAAGGGACCTTCTGGCTTTTTTCTTTTTTATGTCGGTTGAGAATGGGCCGAATCGAAATTATCTGACTATGCCGTGACATTTTTGCTTCTTCGCCTTCGAACTGTTGCGTTTGCTCGCAGGCATGACAACGAGTCGGTTCGTCGAGCAGTCGCCTCATTATTACGCGCAAATCGAGTCTTACGGATTCGCGCAAGCGACGCTGGACGATTGTCACCTGATGGATGATTGCTGCAAGTTGCGCAACTACTTCAACAGGCTGTTCGACGACGTGTACGCGGCGAAGGAGCAGGAAATGAGTATGATTAAAGAGAGAAACCAGAGGATACGGCATATAGACTCCGAGCTGAAGACGATGTTCGGTCAGAGTCTGCCGCATGTCCCCAGTGATCCGCAATGGCATCCCAAAGTAATCACTGGTCTCAAACACTGTTCCTAATAATTCATAGTCCTGATCAATTTAACCCCTTCCGCGGCACGGACGCACCGGTGCGTCCAGCCAAAACCGTGCCGTAAGTGGCACGGTTAAACATTTAGTGAATTTCTATATTTTGATCTCAAATTGGGCTTCAGCGATCAAAAAAACTGAAGTACGCAAATTATTGAAGAAATCCGCCCCGTCATTTTTTATGGGGCGGTTTCAGTGCATTTTACTGAATTTTGCTCTGCCACGGAAGGGGTTAATCCTTGCTGAGAGTAATGGTTTTAAGATGAGCTACCTTAAGACACTTTTACGATATAACGAGCAAGCAACCTCAGCTTGATGAGTGCTCGATAAGAGTTTCTTATCCGGTTCTCCGTGCGATTGGCACGAGCTGTCGAATGTCGCTGAAATATACGTATAACGCAAATGTGATATCGATTAGGAGAAAGTAGAGAGCATTATCCAAGTACACGAGCACGAAGTCAAGGCGAAGCTGTACGTGTCGCCATCGCTGCAGGCCGTCCTGAAGAAGCACGCAGAGGAGGCCGTGCGAGCCAGGCAATTGTTGCTGGCGGACGATTTTCGCGAAGGTGCCCTGATGAGGATGATGGATGGCGTGCTGGAGGTTCGTTGGGAGGACATCATCAAAGTGGACGTGCGCGAGCCGGCGTGCATGCTGGAGAAACAGCCGGAGCAGTACACACCGGCCGATATCGCGGCCGTACAAAAGTACCAAGCAGACGTGGAGGTCCTGCGGCAGGAGCGCGAGCGTTACAGGAGGATACTCGAGGCTGACTATGCGAAGATCATCGCGCAGCTGCGGGACGGCATCGACAGATTCGACGCCAGGCTGGAGGAGCTCTTCCAGGTGAGGCGCGGTTACATTTGTTTATTTATTCACGAGGAAATATCCTTTCGATGTGCATGCGACAAGATCCCGTAGGAAAAAGTTGCCCGAGACGAAACGAGCACTTGAGACATCTCGACGGTTTCGCAAACCCGAGAGAGTAGATAATCAACCCGCTGAAAAATCCACCGCGGAAAAAAATAATGTAACATGATACGACGGATATTGATGAGAGCTGGAGATGAAAGGTTGAAAGGTCGAATTTGCAAGCATTTTCTCACCTTTGCATAAACACCTCCATACGTTCGCAATGGAACGGGCGCCACGGAATGGCAGGCGAAATCAGATACAAAATGTGCAAATGTAACAGCGTGTAATTTCTTCGAAGCCGCGTACGTGACGCCGTAGGGTCAGGGGGTTAAAGCGCGGGTCATAGTAGACGCTGACATTTCTCATGTCGTTTGTTAACCGTCCGTCAACGCCAAGGCGACCTTGTTTACGCGCTAATACTCGCGCGGCTCTCTCACGCGCGCGGCCTTTGAGTTACGCGATTACCGGACACTCGTCGTCGTTACACACACGGCGTCGTTCGCCTCGCAGAGAAAACTGCAAGTCGACACGGCGATAAATCAATTGAAGTTGCGTCACCTCCGCGGCCGCGCGCGGAACCTGGCGCGGGTCGAGGCGCTAAGGGAGGACGAGCGTGTGAAGCGCGAGATAGCCGAGGCGCGCCGGCAGCGCGTCGCGTTGGAGGAGGACGCGCGAAATCTCCAGCACGCGTACCAGGACCTGCAGACGCAGCAGGACGCTCTGTGCGCTCGCGACAAGACGATGGCGCGGATACTGCCGCAGGACTTCCCGTCGCTGTCTATATTCAACGTCGAGCTGCTCGACAGTCAGTACAAGCGACGGCCGAGGGTGACGGCCCTGAAGAACGTCGCCGCCAACGACCTAGTCAGCCTCGGCCGGTACCTCACGAGTCACATCAAGCCGGCCTTCTTACCTGCCGAATGCGCGGACTTCGCGAGAGTCCTCGAGAGTTTGGACGCGCGCCCCGGCACCTTGCCGAAGTCGATCCACGCGAGTCACTGGGAGCGCCTGGTGCAGGCGCGTCGCCGAAAGATCGAGCTGGAGCTGCAGATCAGAGCGCGGCAGTTGGAAGTCTCCGGGGCGGAGCGGATAATCGCGAAGGTGGACGCCAAGATCGCCTGCAGGTCGCGAGTGGAGAACCTCAGCGACGAGCTGAAGCGGCTGAGGGACGAGCGGCTGACGCGCGAGCAGGACATCGAGTTGCAGTTGGTGCTGAAGAGGGGTCAGGTGGAGGCAGAACTGCGTGGCGAACGACATGACACGGCGGACGCCGTCATGGTGCCGCGCCTCGAGCTCGAGAGGGTCAACGAGCACATCCTCGCGGCGGGCTCGCGCAAGCTCAACGCCCTGAAGCGCCACATCGACCTGCGTCACGGTACCTTGTCGGCCGAATGGGAGCACCGTTGCTTGAGGACGCGTTTCCGGGAGCTGGAGGAGGACCTGCACTTCCTCAGGGACGTCACGCTCACTAAGGACATGCAGGCGTACCTGAAGAGAGTGACCAAAGGCTGGCGCGACGACAAGGTGCCGGCGCGCCTTCAGCGGGAAGTCGACAGCGCGACCAAAGCGCTCGAGCGGACTCTCGCCGACGAGGCCGGCAAGCTGGAGAAGATCCGCGGTAAGATCGCGTCTGTGAAGAAGAAGAACGCCGAGCTCGACCGCAGGATCACGGAGATGAACGTGGCGCGCTGGAAGATGGAGCACGAGCGAGATCCCACGGCGGAGGCGAAGCAGCGCGAGCATGCGAACCGGAAGATGCGGCTGTACAGACGGCGGTCCGAGCTGGTCAGGAAGATCCAAGAGAATTACGCCGAGCTGTTAGCGTTGCAGACCGAGCACGAGTTGCTGCGCATGCGAACGCGCCCCATGTTGGAGTTCTTCGAGATGTTGGACGATGAGAAGCCCAAATGCGATTGACGTCGTCGAGTGCAGGCGATCGTTGAAGTTAATCAGCGAAGTTAATAGCATTAATGTCGTCGCTAATCTTGTTCGTCTCTTTAAGCTGTTTCTTCCGCAACCACATTGTCATGTTTCGTTTCTTGTTACGTCACGTTAATGGAGCGATGAATAAAGCACCCAACTTCTCACATCTGCTATGCCTCTTTGCGCACATCGTCCTTTCTTACCCTCTCCCTCCTTCCTCTTGCCAGTTAATTCAGTTAGGTTTACACGGATAATCGCGATGTGTATCGTGTTGCTAGAAAAAGATATGCCGGCACAGCCGCGCCCGCATTTTTCGCGCCGGTAAACACGGCGTAATCTTGCGATCGCTAATTTCGCAATCACGAGGCGGCGGCGGCGGCGGCGGCGGCGGCGGCAGCGGCGGCGGCGGCGGCGGCAGTGGGGCCCTCCTAAACTTCGCTAAATCACGACCGACGACGCGGTGCGGGATTTAATCGGCGACGTTTCGCTTACAAAGGACAAGCGGCAATTTGCACGGCCGGCATAAATCACCGGGCGACCCGATCTCGATACATAATGGGTGCCGCTCGCGGTCCACGCGGTCTTTTTCACCATAAATAACAGTGCTAATAGTACACCCCGGCTCTGAGATGAATGATGCGGTCGCGGCGGGCCGCGGCGGCGGCGGCGGCGGTGGCGGCGGATCATCGGACCGCCGCAAAGTGCCGCGTACGAATCAATTTCATCTGGGAAATTCCCAGGTGGCCTTTCTCTCTCTCTCTCTCTCTCTGTCTCTCCCCCTCTCCCTGTCCCTTTCTCGCGCGAGGAAAGAACGAAGAAAGAAAACGAGAGGAAAACGGAGACTCACCGCGCGACGATTAGACGGCGACGTCCGGACGACGACGGTCTCGTCGATTTTTTTTTCACGACAGCCTCGTCTCCTCGGGAGGTGACGCGCGGCTCACGATCGGAAACCGACCGCGACGACGACCACGACGACGATGAGGGCCTCTCGGAAAAGGGGAGCGGTCGCTTGAACGCTCGGTTGTTGCGCGACAGTGTAAATATTTTCGGCTTTAATAGCGATATGATTTTTATTAATGGAAACGGTCATCCCCTGCCGCGTCCCGCGGTATTACGCGACTTATTCTTCGGCATCTCTTTCATCCATGACCATGGCGGTGGTGGTAGCAGCCGCAGCGCGCACGACCGCGAAGAGAGCGAGAAGAAGGGAGCATCGGCGGCGATATCCATGGTCCGTCGATCGATTAATCATCGTTCTGCCGCCTGACGCGAACACAATGCCGCCGTTGTCGTGGAAGGAGACGAAATTGGGATGGTGGAGTGCCGCTTTGTGCGTACCTATTGTCGGCGCCCGAGGAACACGTCGCGCGTCCTAGCGGAGCTCACTTCACGGTGAAAACGAGTCTCTCAGGTTACCGCGGCGTTGAGAAGCGTCGCGTTTACGATGCTTGTATTTGTTATTCGGCCATCGCCTGTTTGTGCGCCCTTTCTTCCTCCCTTTCTCGACTCCCGGACGTCGTCGCAAACGTGCGTTATCCACCGTGCGCGACGTTAATCGCGTCGAGGAGGGTGACTTTCTTCGGATCCCGATTAATCTAGTCGGCTATCAACCGGCAGAATCGTCAGCGACGATTTTCAGCCGTATAATTCGTCGTGTTCTGCCCACTACCGGACGGATTAATAATTTTCGGCGTATGTTTACACGCTCCGCGCGATACGACAAATTTCGCGCGCAAAATTATATTTTACAACGTAGTGTTTACGAGCGCTTATTGGCTACATTAATGTTACAGATTTTAATACGCTGTTATACCTACTATTACGCGGGGTGATTCATATTTAATTAACACTTCATTTGTACGTAGCGCGCGGTGTTGCGCGATCCTGTCTAAAAATTAAATCAATGATTTAAAACGTATTCGTGGCTGTACAACGTACAACACAGGATGCATATTCTACACAGTGATTTGCGGAGAGTTCTTGCAATATCTGCAACTAAATCGCCGAAAACCCGTTCGCTCTTTCCGATGCTGGCCGGGTGTGTAATTCTGAAGCAATAATTTTCTCATACGACTCGCAGATATTTATTTATTCATCAACAGAAAATGCCGTATCCTCTCTTAAAATAAAAGAGAGACATTGCCATTTGCAAAACGATATCGGTAAAATTGAAAGTAAAACAAAAAAATTCCCAAATAATACGAGAAATTTAATTTTCGTCGGTGTGTACGATCCACGCTCTCTAAATCAGTGTGAAAATACCTGCATGTGTTTACGGCGCACTGGAGAACATTCAAATTTCGCGACTGATTTTCCGTCACCCGGCGACTGGACGAAAACTCGGCTCCAGAAACAGAAGGATCGTCTATCGGACCCTCTTCGATCGCTCTCGGCAATCTCGACTGAATTGAACGCAGCCGATACGCACGTGCCGATACAGACGAGCTGCCGCGAGTTTTCGGCCGCCGAGAGACAGCGATATCGTGCCGCGTTTAGTCTGATGCCCGCCGATGATCCGCCGTAGGAGCCGAGATTTCCTCCCGCGCGCGTGTCCCGGCCGGGTCGAGAGTATCGCGGGATCCGCGCAGAGCATCGCGGAATCCGAATCCGCGCGCCGAAGAAAAACGGTCGTTATCGGGAGAGCCGCGGCCACTCCAATCAATGCAAATCAAATCGAGAGCCGCGAATACGAAGCGCCCAGTCAAATCAAGCGAATAAAAGCTTCATGAATGTAAAGGACCCCCTTGAATGCGAGCGCTGCGTGCGTGCGAGCGAGCGCGCCCGCGCGCTCCAGCCAATCTGGTAATGCGTCTTCGCCTCCTCCTCGCCCGGCGCCCTCGTACTCGTACCCCCTCGTTGGCGGGAAAAAGGAGGGAAGAAAATATCGGGCGCGTCGCGTCACTCGCGGGACGTCAGGTACCGCCGCGCTGTAATAGACACCGCGCTCAATATTGCACGACCTAACGGGAAACGGGCGCGACAACGGCTCCACGGGCCGAGCCGGTGATACGTAAAACGCGCGACCACCTCGACCACCTCGAGCGATCTCCGCTGGCGAACGACTGGCCGCGGACTCGTCACGACTCGCCGGAGAAGCGTCTTCAAGAAGCGCGTCTGCAACATTGATGGAACGTCGATGGAGCGAGAGAGCTTCCTTGACCATTGAAATGTGCCGAAGGTGCGATGGATGAATAATTCGAGAGGTATTTCTTTTCATTTTACTTGCGCTTCACTCGCGGTTCTCTGTCGCAAGCAAGCGTACAGCTGATTATTCAGACGCAATTAATTACAATTTCATACGTAACGCAAGGAGACGCGATGATACCGCGATAATCGACGCGACCGTCTCAGAGTGCTCGACGTGTTGACTGTTGAAGAGGAAAGTAGCTGCAAAGTTAACGTACGGCGGGTTTCGATCGAGACGACAGACATGCGCGTTTTGCTTGTCGGATTTATTATCACGTTCACACAATCATCATCGTTATCCTTGGCGATCCGTCTACTCGCTCGCTACGAGGGATGCAGTGTCGATGAAATCCCAGGGTATACAATGTAAAACTCTTTCTCCCCGCTTCCCTCTCTCCCTCTCGTACACTTTCCCTCTCTTTTTCTCTCTCTCTCTCTCTTTCTTTTCATCATCGCAGCGCCGTATAAGGCGAGACGATTGCGAGAGGCCGCGCGAGACAGGCTCGTTGGCGCAATAAAAATTTGACACGATCGTCCACATCGCCGTGGAAGAAAAACGGTCGAACAGTCGACGGGCTGGGAGCGACCAAGGGATGAGGAGGGGCGGTTGACGGGACGGGCGGGGGGTTAACATCGGCTGACTTTACGACTCGCGCTACGCGCAGGGCGAAAGGGACGACAGCGAAACTCGTTATTATCCGACCGTACTTCTTCGTGGCGTCCAAGAAGAAGACGGCCGCCGCGGCCGTGCAACGGCGGCGGCGACTTCGACGGCGACGACGGTGGCGGCGGCGGCGGCGGCGGCGGCGGCGGCGGAGATAGTGATGGCGATGGCGATGGCGATGGCGATGCTGTCTTGGGTCTCGGCCTGTGCACCGTGCTTGCTCCACGGGCCACTTTCCGACCATAAAGAGACAAAGGAGCGTTCTTCTCTCTTACCCCGCGCACGGCAGTAAACTCTCATTTTCGCGAAATAAAAAAGACGCCTGGAAGCGCGCGCGCGCGCGACTCGATGCCGCGGAACGTGCGAGGGAATCCCCTCGGCGCGTCCTCGGAATTCCACCGCGACGGAATCTTCCTCCCGGGTGTATGTAGTCCCGACGAACGTGGGGTAGCTGATCGCTCGAAGCCTTGCTCGGCTACGCGGAATGCTCGGCCGCCCATAAGACGATTCGCGCGAGCTGCCAAGAGTCTCGCGACGACGCGGACCACTGCGGATGCGCCAACACGTCTTTCTGAGAGAATTCCACTGAGAGTTACGTTTGCGGAAAAATTCGAATAACTTCTCATGCAACGTTTATCATGATTCAAATGAAAATTCCCAGGTTCAGTTCGAAATTCAGATGTCTCACGAGTGACGAATCTCAAGTTACGACACGTCGTCTCTGAGACTCTGAGACAGTTACGTGTAGTGCATGTAGATATTAGATAGCCAATTACGACATATTAAATTAGGTGAGGTTAGGCCTCTGATGAAGAAAAAAGGAAAAAATATTCTGACGTTCGCGGATATTCCATTGTCTGAAGTTCCGCGAGCATCCTCGTGGAAACTCGGCAGGTTTAACCACGACCGTCGCGACACCGACACGCGCGTGCTCGCAAGCGCATGCATGCACACACACACGCACGCGAGAGGCGCGAGAGGGGGGTACTCTTATTCCCGTCTCGGTCCCACGGGTGGACTCTGCCAAGGCGTGACGTTAATCCTCCGTAAGCTGGACGTTTCTGCCGAGCTCCGCGGCATTTGCGTATGCACCGAGTCGACGTGCGCGAATCGGCTAGGACGCCACCACCCTCGTCCGTTTTCGGCGGATTGGGCTGAACGCTCGCGACGTTCCATCGCCGTGGTGCCAACGGCTAACCGAACCGAACCCTGTTCGCGACGCTCCGCGGCCACCCTCGCCGTTTCCACGCATCTACGCGGTTGCTCGCGAAACGAGATCGCGCCGAGAGAGACACGTA